AGATTAATTAAAATTGAGGTGCTGACACTGGGAAGTCTTAATTTGAGCTCTCCCTTTCCCACCTCGAAAATTATATCATACTTAAGAGTAATATACAATCTAATAATATAATAATAATAATCCTTGCATTTGGTATAGTGCCTCATTATGTCGGAAGGAATTCTCAAAAGTCACATGGAGTGACTGTGGATTTGTAGACAAATAAATGCAGTATCATGATTTCGGACATCAATGGCCCACGAATAGCCAGCGAGCGAGTGAGTGATTGATTTTATTTGAGGGATTGTTGGCCAGGACACCAGGAAAGAAAAACTCCCTTCTCTTTTTGAACAGCCATGGGATCTTTAACATCCAATTGGACAGGCAGACGGAACCTTGGTTTAACATCTTAAAGCAACCACCAAAGTCTTTGAAAAAGACATCCAGCCCGAACTGATACCTCTCAAAATGATCAAATCTAACAGCGTCAGGGCTACTACTGACCTGGTCACTGGTTCAGCCACCTTATTAAAATTCACGTTCGTGAATGTTAAACACAAGAGTCACAAATCTGCGTCTTAAGCTAAACTGCGCGTATCTCTAACTAAGAACATGGTATAAACTGCTAAATACCAGCTGGAATATTAAGATAGCTGGAAGGGTTGAAATTTCCATAAAAGTCTAACTCAATGTACAAGATCAGAAAGCTTCAAATTTCAAATACGTTAGAAGCAACATTCAACAGCAAACGTTTCTTAGGAGCCCCAAGCCTGTAATGTAATTAGAATTTTCCTTGGGTAAAATTTCTCATTTATTCTTATCAACTAAGTTGGAAACAGCCTGACCTGAGAGGTAGGGGGAAAAAAAAGCATCCATTGCAACCCTTTTATCAATGGCTTCCAGGTGACTAAGTGTTCGTATTCCAGCCCCAAAACACTTCTGTTCATTCAGTGATTTTGGTTTGGAATTATGTCTCTATAATTGGAAGAGTTTGGAGTTCACAGGGACACATTGAATGACAAGCTTTCCTTAAAATCTGAAACCAAAGGCCTGAAATTCCAATAGTTTTTAGGATTAAAAACTTTGTGCCCTTAAAATTACACATTAGCGCAAAAAGAACCGCAGTGTCCAAATGCAGAACGAATTTAAGATTGTTTTCCAAAATTCAAAGACCATCTCAAATGCTGAGATATGCACTTTAAGCTCGAGAAGTTTAAGCAAGTGCTCTTGAAAAGAAATGTCTGAGAGGAGAGGTAGAAGATGTTTAATGGGATTGAGTAAGTAAATAATTACAGCAGGGCTGTCTTAAATGTTCTTTGCTCATCAGTCATTGCTGGCGATTGAGGAAGCTTGGAGAAGTGAGCAGCACCATCCACTCTCATTAACAAGATTATTACGCCTATGATCTTCCTCTGCTCTGACCCAATAATGCTCTTGAATTCACGGCTTTGGTGAGAGATTGCCAATTTGTGCTGAATGGTGGGCAGTTTTATTTTGATTCCACCATTTACCGGGCCGAGGCTACCCTAATGTTATTTCGCGCTCGATATGTAAATTGAATCTCGATCCCGTCAGTCCTCCTGGATTCCAACACAGAGGTGGAACTGCAATGTCTCTCCACATCAGTTATTTCAGATTAACGTGGTGTTTCAGCACCAGTGGCAAATCCGATACAATAATAATAATCCTTGCATTTGATACAGCGCCTCATCACATCTTCAAGAGTCATTAAAGCGTTTCACAGAATAAACCGTAAAGTGAATTGACTCCATATTTTGTGGGCGAAACCCAGCTGCCAATTGTGCACAGCAGTATCCCACAAGCAATGGTGGGTTAAGTGACCAAACTATTATTATTTAGTTGTTTAAAAGGGATTATCATCTTATAATAATCTTTTTACATAAAACAAATGAAGAAAAATCTCAGATTATGTTCTCATATCATTTTCTAAAAGTGCTTTCGCACACCCCCTCAGAAAAAAACAATTCCTTATTTTAATGTTTTTTTATTTTAAACGAGAGGATGTGAGCAGTGCACAGCCACGCTTCCACCCCCAGAGGATGGGCTTTGACACTGCTTACACTTCCTGTTTGAAACAGATGTGAAGTCTTATGTTTCACTTGCCAATTGTCCTTTTTAGTTACAACATCTCCCTCGAGAGCAAAAATTAATTAATTTGTTAACTCTGAAGCTTTTGCTTGGGATGAGTTCAAAAGCTGTCAAGTGCAAACTGCCTTTTCTTCTTCTCCACTACACACCAACGCGATCTCATTAATTCCAGGATTTGTATTGTAAGGGGCTTTTACATTTCCACTTTCACAGCAGCCGCCACAAAACAAAAGGACAATTCGCCTGCTGGCTTGCTTCGAACACAGCTCACAAACAGGAAAGGGCAAAACGTGTCCACAAAAACGACAGCTTATTTTCTGGCACAGTGACTCTTCATTCACTTTAAAGGCAAACACATCAGGGGAGACTGTAATTAGCTGTGGTGCTCAGTCATTGAGTAAAATGACTAATCCAAGTGTCTCAAAAGCACTGGACTAGCGAGAGATAAGGACTGGAAAGAGTTTTGTGCAAGGCAGTTTGCTTAGTCCATCAATTGTGAATGGTCGGCTGTATCTGATGAAAAGTGCAAGATTAATCTTCATAAACGGCCATAATTGCAAAGTGCCTGGGCTGGAGCCAAGTCATTGCAAATGAAAATTAAATTACTGCACTGGCAGCATGTTCTCCTGAGTGTCGAAAACAGATTCAGTTCAGTGCAACATTTTTAGCTGTCAGAGTACTTACGGTTTGCTCGTGTGAGCGAGGAGATTTATAACGAGGAGAAAGTCCTCCCACAGTGAAGTCTAAGGACATCTGGAGAATGGATTCACATCTTTAGACGGAAAAAACATTTAATTCAACAGAGGATTGGATGTGTGCCAGGGACAGCCAGTCTTACCCACGTCTTACATTTCTTTTTGAAAACACGAGTCCAACAGAGTAATAATAATTAAAGCAACTCACATTAAAATATGCTTCCACCTGCTGATCTGTGAATATCAATTCTGAACTAGAATGAACACGCAACATGTGGGCTCAGTTTAATTCTTTGCTGTAACCACTGGATTAATGGGAAGGTGAGTTGGTGGGGATTCTGGAAGTTTGAGATTAAATGGGCCAAACCTCTCTTATTACAATCCAATAAATAGGTCCTTCGCTTCATAATTTGGGTTTGATTACTCTGTAGGATTTTTTAAAAAAGAAACACTTTGGCACAGTCTGATGACCAGCAGTCTTTTCCATGGGTTCACATTCCTCTTATTTCTCAACATCTAAAAATCCAATCATATGTCACGCCCAAACTTGCATTTTTAGAGCATCTTTTCGTTAGATATTTTTGTCCGGAAATACATAGTCAATTCACTTTACAGTATATCTTGTGAAGCGCTTCGAGACGTCTCGAAGACGTGATAAGCACTATATCAAACGCAAGGATTATTATTATCATCTTCACAGGCAAGGTTTTTTTAAGGCAACTACAGCAGCAAAACTGCACAAACAGCCAAGAGATGAATGCTCAATGCAGGTGGCGGAATGTTGGACAAGACACCGAGAGAAAATCCAGTCTTTTCCCCCTAATCGTGTCACAGGAACTTCAACATTTATCTGAACAGGTAGGCAGGCCTTCAACTAAACACCTCATATGAAGGATGGCAACTTAAACAGTTCATTCTCAGCACGGCGCTGGACTGTCAGCTTAGATTGTGAGATCAAGTCCTAACGTAGGATGTGAACCCGTACCCGTCTGATACAAAGGCATGGGCTGAGCCAAAACGACAACTTGCTGCAAACAGACGAGCTCAGGGGAAGAACACGGAGCTTGTGAAAGGCACCAGAATGAGAATTGTGTATTTGGAATCTGTTTAGTCAGGTATGATATAGTGTAAAAAGTAAATTACCTGAGAGCACCGAGCTTTTGGATCATGTTGGAGTAAATTGCTTGTAGAAGGCATTGTGCTTTTTTTCTAAAATACCTTTAGTTTCAATGTGCTGCACTCCAATTTCAACTTTCAGCAAAGGGCAACACCTTAATGTGTAACAATCCAATAAAGGTAACTGCTACAAGCTGGAACATGCTTTGTTGCCTTGCATTCGAAACTAGCAGAAAAGTTATTTCTTCGTCAAAGGGGGTCTGTGATTTATTGATTTATTTATTTGGCAACTCGTTGTATCTCAAAAGAAAGTAAGATGGAACGAGGAATACCAGATGCCTGCCTAAGAGCTGGTGGGCCAAAAATTCATCTTTTGGAGAATAAATAAAGCCATGATGAGAGCTCGTGGGAGAAAGAAAGGTCAAACCACTTAGATCTTGAGCATCGACCCAAATGAGGTGATCGTGGGTTACCCCTTCTGTGCCCATTCCAGACCCAACTAATATTTCATTGCTTTGAAAAAAAAATTTCTTTGGGTCACAAATGCTCAAAGCAACAGGGTCGAGAGATCCATACATACATCCCAAGTTCTTTCAATCTGATTGAAGGGATCCAAATCTATCAACACCACATGATCTGGTTCAGTTGTAATCGAGGAGTCTACCACTGGAACTTTGATGCTGCAATCTCTCATGCATTAGGACTCTGCATGATACTTATGCAATTTGCATTTATTATTTTCTAGTGTGGAATTACATTTCTGGTAAGCCAGAGTCCTGCACCCAATCTCCTGTTTAATGCCTGTTGACATTAGGTTATGTTGAGCTTCCTGCTGACAGACCAGCACAAGTCAAGCAGTTTGAGGAATTCTTTACGCATCGATGCAGCATCAGACTCAAACCAAGGATGCACTGCTTGAAGGTGGAAGTTTAGCACATGCTCTGATTTTTTTATTTATTTTGCTTTGTGCTTCAGAAAGTTGTTAATCAGAAAGATGGTTTAAATATTAATCTGTGGGAATTTTGTCAGTAGTGAGCTACAGTTAATGATAAATTTTGAGGTACATGGATGAGCAGTGGAATGATAAAACAACTCAAATAGTATTGCATAATAATTTTTTTAATGCGCTTAATTTAGAAATTGTTGACATTTATCCAGAACTTAAGTCACACCACGCAACTGCTCCTTGTGGATTTTTAGTTCAGCTGAACTACATTTAAAATGAATATAAATATCGCTCTTTAGCATCATAGAAAAAAAAACATAAAAACAGGAGGAAGTCAGTGTCATAAGTTAAATAAACAGGACCAAGAAATCCGCAACAAAAATGTATTTCCCACTACAAACCATGTTTGCAGAAGGAATCATTTTACTGTCCAATAAACACACACACACACACACGGCAAATCTGGCTGGATCTTTTCAGCCATCAGGGCAAGGGACCTGCTCTCCTTTTAAAGTGAATCTACATTAGTTTGGCATCACACAGTACAATTCTCTGACAATGTGCCTTTCCAGGACATCAGCTCCCCATTTCTTTGGAGTTCAATTCATTCTCAATAAAAAATAAAATTTAAAAATGAGACTGGGTGGGCCAATCTAGTCCTTTAGTCTGCCTGATACCCTGGTTAAAACAGGAATACCGTTATTAATGTATTTTAAAAAAAGTCAGAAGAAATTACGTACAATTAAAGCCAGCCACCAACTCTTTGAGCGATGTGTCCAATACACTATCTATGATTCAGTGGGTTCATATGATCAGCAGTTAACATATTCCAAGTCTTTCAACTCCAGTGATGTACAAGACCAACCCTGGTATCCATGGCTGTAATCAGTGAGGAACTAGTTAGTTACAAAGTTAATGGCATTTCTTCATTCATTTTGACTTGTATAAAACAATTCTCAAAAGCTGCAAGTTCCACTTGTATTTTTATACAAAATGATAAAAATAATCAGCCTATCTCCTTGGAAATGACAGTCTAACAATACTAACAAGTAAAGATTAGTCCAGTAGCTTTCCTGGATCACTATATAAAGCCATAATATCCACTTACATTACAATAATAAAAACAATGTTCTGCTGAATTTTGAAAACTACAAAACATTTTACTAGAATGAGTCACTGACTGCCACATGGAGTTCCATCAGTGCTTTTAGCAACTTCAATTGTAGGACTAAAAGGAATGCTGGCTTATCCACAGAAATGCAATGGCTTTGAGCAATCTGTAGTGCCTGCCAGGAAATGCTGAACTTACACTTAGTGCAAACTAATATGCAAAATAAAGCAGACGTGATTCAGGCACAAAACCCCCAGGCTTAACAACTCAGTCTCTATGAAGCGAGCCCAGGGGAGGCTGTACACCTCCTTCCTTCTTTGCATAAATGACAAGAGCAGCTACAAATCCTTTGGCAAACATGATGTGTTGCTAGTAACGGTTCCACTTTACTTGCTGACCTGATAAACGGCTCCAATCTGTCTCAGCTTCTGGTGTTGACAGACTGAACATTGGTTTTGGATTTGTTGCTGTCGTACGTCACAGAGACAATAATAAAAATGAGCAGCGTCACACACTGTATGGCTGCCAACAGGAAGAAGTAGTATTCCATGTGGCATTTGTTGATATTACCTGGGAAGGAAAAAAAAAAATGGTTGGTCTTAAATTGTCTTAAAATCATTAGATTTGGTTAGAATCTAGGTGAAATATGTACAAATTAAACATAGAAAACCGATTAGCAGTTAAAAAGAACAATAACATTGCATCCAGCAGATGTGGTTCATGCCCCTTCATATAGACTCGGAATCATTGAATGTGGAACTCGTGAGCAGGTCTAACAACCAGTAAAACGCAACTGTTGACTTATCACTGAATATTTGCCAGGTATCTCAAGCCAGCATTTACCATCTGTTGTAACTCTGGTCTATTTATCATCTCATCCTCCTGCCTTCACACCACCACTGGGAGCCGAGCCTTCAGCCATCACTCCATCCTCTGGAATCTCTCCCGAAACTATTTGATCTTGCTGCTCCTCACTATTGCCTTCAAAAAGAACCTGAAAACTCATCTCTTTGACTTTGGTCAAAATCGTTTTAGATTCAGATACATTGAACTGGTTTTAGTATTCAAGAGGCATGATTGTTTTCCTTCACAAAATTGCATTCCAAAAGGTCTTGTAATAAATAGTATAGGAAAGATCAGGAATTGAGATTAGAGTAGGTTGATCCCACAGAGGAGCTAGCACCAGCATAGGTTCAATGATAATATAATAATAATAATCCTTGCATTTGATATAGTGCCTTTCCACATCATCTAACGTCTCAAAGCGCTTCACAGAAAATACTGTAGTGAATTGAACGTATATTTTGTGGGTGAAACACGGCAGCCAATTGCAATCAGCAGCGTCCCACAAACAGTCATGGATTGAGTGACCAAATTATTATTATTTTTTGGGAGGGATTATTACCCCTGGCCAATTGATTAACAACCGGGTTCCTCCTTAACGCTAGGTAAACAAAGGCATGCGGAGTAAGGAAACTTGCCCAACGTTTCGCCCTGCCTGGGAATCAAATCCAGGTCCTCTCGCTTGTGAGGCGAGTGCTCTAACCACTGAGCTTCAAGACTCCATTAGTCTGAAAGGCCTCCTGTGCTACAATTTGAATTCCAACCCCACTCTGCTGTTCATGTGGGTTACAACTGAAAAACTCAATTTAAATACAAGAAAACAAGAATGTTCCTTAACGGCACATAATTCATGGCTACATCTTCAGAATCACTGTTGGTTGCACAGAGCCTGCATATTGCCCGTCGACAGCTCCACCGTGTCATTATGCAGGAAATGGAATTATTAAAACAGTGGTTTATCCTGGATTTCTTTCAGAAGATGCCTAAATATTTACCAGAATTATGCCTGGTTTAGATGGCTGGTTGAGTGATGAGGTGGCTTTCTGTGAACCTTTGCTTCTAACAGAAATGGGATGGTGTATATAGTGACAGGGCACTCGCTTTACATGCAGACTGTAATGTTTAAAAAAAATGGGAGTTCTAGATTTAAAAGGAAGAAAACTACTAATCTAACTTCATCGCCTCCATGCATGCAGACAGTAAAGGAAAAGATCTTTCAGTGTCTGTCAGAGATTCCCATTTGTCTCGGCTATTCAATACTCTCTGAAATCGATTTATCTCTCACACAAAAGGGGATTTTCTGATGACAGCAGCACAAAAGGTGGTTTATTGAGGTCAATCCTACGTTTAAGTGTGAAGACTATTTAATTAGTTTTATTAAGTGACATCTTATTTCATAAGTACCATTTCAGATACACTCATTGGTACTTGGATAACTTTGAATTTTTCATTCTTTCTCTTTGAGGCTCTCTCTCTTGAAGCATAGACAAGAGAGTGGTCAGATGAACCCCTTCATTGTCTAATTGGTGAGAAGAGCCAGGATAACTGGTGCGGACAAGAGGGCATAGTTTCAGGGTGTGAAGTGCACACTTGATGGAACCCTAGAGACCATCCAGCCCTAAATACTGTGGATAAGACAGTTGCATTCCAATGGAACTGGAAACGAATCTTTCTGACTAACCTGCTGAAACCCCAGTACTACAAACAGTTAATGAATATTTCAACTGCTGAAACGAGACTCGCATAAATACAGTGTGCGACAGCAGCAAATTCAAAATATCTTTTTAATAAATGAGAAACAGCAGGGAACTGACAACAGTTGAGACCAGAATGGCAACTTTCAAGCCATCAAGATAAGCACACAATAGCTAGTATCAAGGGTAAAAATAATGTTCAAGTGAATGCCATAAGACAGACAGTAAAAGCAATCACTTTTCTCAGAGGGACATTAAAGAGCTCACACACATACAGAGATCCTAACAGCTGTTGCTTTGTCTATTTGGGGGAGAGGGAAAGAGGAACAAATGTGACAATGTCTAAACATCTGCATGCCTTACATTGTTCACGTGTGACTTATCAGCATGTGTGTAGAAGAACATGAATTCATCAGGGGCCATTTTAGCTGGGTGGCATCTGAAAATGCTTAAATTAATGTGTGAGGAGGTGCCCCGGATTGCGGCGTAGAAATTAATAGGCAACGGGATAAGGAATGAGGGGCGGGTGGGAGCAGTTGACCGGTGTGCTGCTCTGCAATGTACCTAATAAGGATCCAATCACTCTCTTCCTGTCAAGGAATGTAAAGTGCAACCTACTTAACAGAGAGATTATCTGAAAAGATACCAGTCTCCCACATCACTGAGTGACTTGGTGAAGGGATCAGTTTGTGGCCCATTTTACTGTTAGAAGGACTCTGCTGTATTCTTTCCCCCATTTATAATAATTATTCTGTATAGTGAGAGGATTCCACTTCTGAGCTATTGAGCAGTGGTGCACCATGTACCTTTATTTTGCTCTTATGAGTTTTCTGCCATCAGCGTCCCAGAGAGCTGGAAAACAGGAGCGCTTTGCTCTCGAGTAAGAAAAAAGACCCTCTTACATTTTCTTCAACGATCTGTCACTTTCTTCATCTGCAGGACATCTTATAGAGAAAAGCAGCTCGGAGCATGCTAACTGTTTGAACTATTTGGTAGTACAAGTCTACAGCCCAAAGCCTCATCAATGTGCCAGTTTGGTCAACCAAGGAGACCTGTGTTTGGCAGGCATCTTTCTTTCAGGCTGGTTTCAGCCCTAGGGGAAGGAAAGCTTAAAACGTAATCCTCATTTTATCAACTTTAAAAGGGTGAACATACCCACTATGATTTGAACTGAGAATCTTTGACTCCAAGTCCAATATTGTATAAACTACACAGGATGTTTACAATTAAAGTAGGCAGCCAAGATCCAATAATATTGTAGTGTTACAGTTGTCAGTCTTCCAACGAGGATAAAATATGTGCAAAACCTTAACAAGAATTTCACATGAATCAAGGAAGGAAAGAAATTAGCCTTAGTACTATAAGTATACAGCAAAGTGCTACATAGTGCCACAATGACTTTTTAATCGCAGTTCTGAGATTGAAGATCAGAGTACGTTTATTCTCTTTCCTGGTGATACGCCGGTAACTGTTATGCACATGATATACGCTATAATTAAATCAAACCATCTGTACATTCCTAGTCTACAATACTCAAGCCAAAACATCATTAAAGCTTTTAAAAGAAAGCACATATTCACCTTTGTTTTAAAGGTTAGCTAGTCTATGCAGTCTATTTACAATCCAATTACATGAAATTTTCTGATTTAAGATGCAATTAGTAGAATATACTCAGCAAAATATGGTTCCTTTGTTCGACTGATAAAAGCAAGTATAGGGAAACAGTTAAGAGTGCCTCATTATGTTTCTTTCTTCTTGCTAGTGACCCCCCCGGATCTTCCTCTGTGTCCAAAAGAGCCAACTCCTGGCTGGTTCAGCCCCGCAGGTGTCAGCTGCCTTCCGGTGCCTTGCCCAAGCAGCCATTATTCACGTGCGAGTTTTGAATGGGAGCGTACAATGGAACTAGTAGCGAATGGAGATATTGTGAGCAGAGGGCAGAGACTGCTCTCGTCTTCACCCAATAGCTACGCACGTGTACTTTCCAGCAAGGCGGGGACGAGGGGGCGCTGGATAGTGATCATGAGCAGGAACCCTAACTAACCTCTCCCCCCTTCACCTTGTCAAACTGCTCATGTGGACACTCCTGCTGTTTGCTGCCGCTGTAGAATGCTGTTCACAGTGGGCATCCTGTCCTTAGGCTTTTAGAACATCTGAAACTAGCACATTACTTCAGTTGATTGGATTCACCCCTAATTGCCTCGTCTGGATGATCTTAGCCCACTGATTGAAATGATCGAATTCTGTATTCATCTACCAGAAAGAGCATTGCCTTGCAAGCAAGTAGGTTTATCATTTTTTTTTAAGCCCTCTCTGTGACAAAATACAACTACAATAGAACAAATCCAAAGTGTCCTGAATTACTGAAGTAACAAGAAAGTAATTGCACTGAACATTAGAGTATAAAATTGTTGTCACGTTTATCCAAAGGTAACAGCTGTTCTGTTCTGGCATTGAAAATGCACAGAATGAAAAGATACCATGGCCCTCTCCTCCAATTGCATTTTAAGAAACCGTTTCTGAAACACAAACCAGCAATATGTGTTTACCTGCCTGTGGGTATAATTGTGTTCATCCGCAAATTGGAAGTACATAAGGCAGATTTTTTCCCCCTCACATCAGGCAATAAATTCAGATGGAAAGCAGCAGAGATAAATTTAAGGCAGCCACATATAACAGTAATTCCAATTACATGCAGCCCTCCGGGTCTGCAGAGACACGAGGCTTTTGTCAGAAGTGATTATCTGAATCAGAGCAATCCAAGTCTAGCCATAAGTGAAGGTCCTATTCACCAACACCCTGTTGCCTGAAAGTTAAAAGGCTTTGGAGATTTTGTTTCATTCTTATTCTTAAGCAAATAAAAATTTAGACCACATAAATAATAATCCTTATTATTATATCGCCTTATCATGTCTTCGAAACGCTTCACAGAATATATTGTAAAGTGAATTGACTGTATATTTTATGGCAATTAGGCACAGCAGTGTCCCACAAACTATCGTGGATTGACCAAATTATTATTATTAAACCCTTTGA